CGGTTCTCTCCGGATTGTGCAAACCGGTAGCGGCGACTGCGGGAGGCTCCGCCCACCTGCCCGGACGTAATGCGCGATTACTGCACCTGTGCAGAAGGCCATGCCCACGCGCTCACATTTGTGAACCAGTAGGGAAGGTAAATGAATCCCACCTCTGATACAGATGGGTGGTTTGGAGCACCACTTGAACACCATTGTCACTAACATACTACCACCAGTTAGTCACAAAAGGCAGCTCACCCAGTTAGACCTGGGTGCTGCGTTTTATTATGCAAGATGGCGTTTGTTATCCAAAATGCAGACACTGCATCTATAAGGGGGAAAAAATACTAGGAATATGATGATGATGATGAGTTGCAAAAGGCAAGTTTATTCGGAATAGCTTACATCCAGCAACAATATCTTTAACCCCACCAAACATCTACCTATGTCTATTCCAGATCCTTGGGAAGGACTTGATAGGTGGATAAAAATGCTAAATCCAGTCTGAACATCTGGCTGACTGTGTGACGAATCATAATTAACAAGATAACCAAATGGAGTCATGAGTAAAATAACAAAGGGCAAATTGTCCAGAGCATCCATTGGGAGAGGTCAACAATGCCAAAACAGTGGGCCCTTTTAAAGAAATATGTGTCATTTATATTAAAAAGGGACAGGGCTTCAGTTGTCAGGTTGTGCAGCCATCATTACCATACAATTGTATGTAAGCCTAAAAAAGACACATAGCTAAGTTTTGCAAAACCCCTGGATTTCATCTCCTTCTGTTTGTTTCCAGAGATAAAAGGAAGAAAACAACAACAACAAAACTTCTCAATTAAAAAGGGCATTTTCCCAGTCAATAAATGGCAATATTAAAAGTGATGTTTTTTAAATGAATGCCTGCAGCTTGAAAATGCCCTGACTTGAGTCATTAATTATATAGACTAGAAAATTACTTTTATTATTATGACAACAGACACAACTTTAAGGGAAAAAAAATCAGTAATAAGCACTTTTGAACTAAAAAGGAAGAAGATTGTTCCTTTCACACCCTGTCAAAGTTACCCAGAGCACACACAGCAGTCTACCAGAAGGGCCAGAGACCCACTGTTTAATAAGAAAGTGACATTTAATTGGCAAATTTCTTTTGTAGATTAAAAAAAAGTTAGTTGAAAGGAGATCAACCCACCCTAATCTATCTTATCCAAATTAAAGACCGAATGTGAAAGAATATGAAAATATATTTGATAGACTATGGAAACTTATTTTCAAATTAGAAGTAACATCTTTGAAAAACAAGATGGAGGCAAATGGTATTTTGCTTGCGGAGAGAAATGATATATCTCCAAATAATCTAATTCAGTGTTTCTCAACTTTGGCAAGTTTAAGCTAGGCTGGCTGGAGAATTCTGGGAATTGAAGTCCATACACCTTAAACTTGCCAAGGTTGACAACACTATAATCCAGCTGAAGTATTGGGCAGCAATCTTGTTTAACTGGGTTGATGTATCGGCTTTAACAATCAGATGCAAAAGCTATGAAGAATTCAGACAAACAAAAAGCTTATTCTTATATATTTGAGATGGCTGAATTTTCACATGATTTCAAGTCTGTTACTCAACAGTATTTTAAATGAGATGCTGAGGAGTGACTTTAGAACCCCTTTTGCACAAAACAAAATGCAGGGCAGCCAGCCAGCACAAATGGACAGCACAAAGCTAGGTGAAGGATTATGCATGGGGTGAAATGATAAATCTGTTATTACACATTTCCAAGTCTACTTGTTGTGGCCCGCCGGCAGCCAGTAGAGCTGGCAGCAGAGTCGGACAGTGAAGAGGTTGGGGAGGAACTTGGACCAGTCCTGGGGGCTGGGGAAAACTCGGACGAGGGCTCTGCATCAGAGGCAGAGAGGGAGCTAGACAGCAGCAAGGCAGAGGAACAGCTGGAGCCTGTTCCCAGTGTGCACATGCACAGAGCTGCCAGAAGACAAGAACAACTAAGAAAGCAGGGTCGACTTGGGAGTAAAGCCACACCTTGGAGGTGATTGGCCCCTCCCATAGTAAACAAAAGAGGAGCGAACGGGGAGTGGGCTTTTGCAGGAAACAATTCATTCATTCGGTTGTTTTAAGAGTGGAAAGTTCTGTTCATGACTCTAAGAGACTCTGTGCCACGTTTTGCCTTATGCTGTGTTTGGAAGCTAGTTATCTGGCAGCTTTCCAAGCGAGATAAGGATTGTGTTGATAAATATTCCTCTGAAAGATTGTTTGCCAAGCCTTGCTGACTGTGAATGAAAGGAATTCACAGTTGTGTAAATAAAAGGGGTTTTGCAGGGATCAAGACTCTGCTTTGTGCTTTTTAAGGAAGCCTCGGTCAGAACACCACTGAACCAAAAGATAGACGGATGATAGATTTCAAAAATGAAAAAAAATGCAAAGTAAGCTGGCATTCCACAAAGCCAAATGGTTGCCTCTGGTAGCATATTTATTTAGAAGAATGCCTCCGAGTCACATAGACAAGAATAGAAACTGGAGGGGGGGAGTTGGAGTGTTGAGAGGATGCCCGTTTGCCAAGCAAAAGGACAAAGGTAAGGTGAAGTGACATAAAATCCTGCAGAGTTAAGAGTGGTGTCAGGATGTATTTGTAGATTATTTCCTGGTAAATGGATGTTTTGGGACTGACTGTGACCTTCTACAGCAATCACTGAGTCTCATCTTTGAGAGATTTTTCAGAGTTCCACAACATGCCTGCAGTTAAGGGCTCAACAACAATACTTAAATGGGACACCCAGGAGAAAGGATGTCTCCTTGGGAATGCTACCTATCTACAGCAAAAATATCATTTTTCTTCCATTGCTTTCAGTCTCCAGGGTACAGTATTTGTCAAGTCTCTAACTTCCCGGGTCTTATGTATGTCTTCAGCTAACAGTTAGCATGTTGCATGTTTAAATGTCTCTAACTGCCAGGATCTGTGTATGTCCTCACCTAACAGTTAGTATGTTGCATGTATAACCCCTTTTTTTCCCATCAAATTTTGGACATAGCTAGAAGTTCTATGCTCCGTTGTTAGATTTTGCTCATTGTTTTAAGGTATGAAATTAGGTTTTATTATTGGAACTAATTAGACTGCAGGACTGCTTTTAACAGAATTAATACATTTGCATGCCCAATTCATTTCATGATATATAATTTTTTTGGTTAGTTATTTTGAATTTATTTAACAAAAATATAATGTATATAAATCCATAGCTAAATAATGGTTGAAAGATTGAGGGCAAAAGAAGAATGGGATGACAGAAAATGAGGTGGCTGGATGGAGTCACTGAAGCAGTAGGCGTGAGCTTAAATGGACTCCAGAAAATGGTAGAGGACAAGAAGGCCTGGAGGAACATTGTCCATGGGGTCGCGATGGGTCGGAAACGACTTCACAACTAATAACAACAAAATAATTGTTATCATGGACTTGGTAAGTTAGTAATGATTTTACATACATAGTGAGATATCCACAATTGTTTTATGACCAAGGTGATCCTACAACTGTTTTGAGAGTATTAACATCCTACATGCATTGGTTTTCCTCTTTCTCTCATTTGACTTTTCTTTACAGATGGTGGAGCACCAAATCCAGTGAGTAACATAATCTATCACTGGCTGAAGAAGCTATGAAAAGCTTTCAGGTACAGCCATCTGATGGATTCTTCTGATATATCCAATTGCTCTTCCAAATGAATCTGTTTCAAGAAAAGGTAATGCACTGGTTGCTTTCTCTTGAAGGAGAAACACTCCACAGAAGAAATGGCCCTCTCTGCTTCAGCCTTGCAAGACAAACACAAGCCACTATTATTCATCCATCATATGCCAGACATTTAATAATCTTTGCTTGACACACACATACAGAGATACACGTGTTCTGCCTTTTGGAATAGGTTTTGCTAGAACTGAAATGAAATTCACCACCAAGCAACAATATCCCCCACTCCTATGAGCAAATCTATTTTCAGATCCTCAAATGTTTCTCATATTTATTTCTACATCAATGTGGAAGTATTTTGAAGGGTCACAGCACAGTGGCAGCATGTGTGCTTTGAATGCAAAATCTCCATCAGTTAGTTGCCTGTATTTTTAAGGAGACTGGGGGAAAAAAATCCGTTGTGAAAGCAGCTGCATGGTTAACCAGGGAGTGTAACAGGGTCTTTATGCTTTGGGGAATAATTTGCAAGATTGCCAATGACTAATGACACATAAAGAAGGAGAAGGACAACCTATTCTCTTTTTCTAAACTTGATTTCCAGCCCCCCTAAACTTTATAACAACAACAATAACTTTATTGTCATTGTACGTGTATACACAGTATACCCATACAAAGTAGTGAATTTCGTTAAGTAACGAAATTCACTTAACACCCAAAGACCAGGTCCAACACATATAACAATCCCCAAGCGCACTCCCACCCACCACAAATTCCCCACCCCTAAACCACCCAAACATCCACACAACAGACCAAGTTTATTTCTCTTTCTTTCATTTTCACTGAAGAAGGTGGATTGCATTTTCCATAAAACTAGTTTGAAGAGGAAAGGGTATTGAAATTAGGCTGATGCAAAGGTGAAATGCTCCCGGTTCGGACCGGTTCATGCGAACCAATAGCAATGGCGGCCGGTGGTTCGGAGAACTAGTAGCGATGGCAGCGCAAGGCTCCGCCCACCCACCCGATCGTCATTACTTCCTGGTTTTAACCAGGAAGTAACCTGTTTTTTTACTGTCTGTGCATGCACAGAAAGGTTTGCACATGCACAGAGGGTCCACGTGCGCACGTGATGCACGGCGAGTGCACTTCCGGTTGGGAAGGCGGTTGGGAAGGTAAGTAGATTTCACCTCTGGGCTGATGGCTGCAGTTTGCTCATACCATTGGGTTTTGAGGGGAAAAATGACCTGGCTTTCTTTCAGAAAGCTTGCTGTCTTCCTAAAAGAACTGGCACTGAATTTCTACAATTCCTACAGGAAGTTACAGAAACACCCTCACCTGTGCTGCTGGAAATGTTGACGTCGATGCTGATATCTGAGATGCCACCACCTTTCAGAGCTGCAACACATGTGTACGTCCCAAAATCCGTGAATTTCAAATCGATGATGTCCAAATTGGTGGTTCCCGGAGAGACATCAGGATCTGTTTGAGTAATCACCATCCTTTCAGAGCTGCGCAGTGGTCGGCCATTTTTAAACCAACTGAACATGAGCTCTTCAGAGGGAATCGCTTCCACTTGACACGAGATCTTGACCTCTCTCCCTATCTGAATGTTGTCATCTTTATGATATGGGTCAGGCGTGATCCAGAACCGTCCTTTCTTCAAGGCTAAAATGGGGAAAGCAGAATATAAATGAGTTTGATGCAACACTGACCTATTTGCACACAGATGAGAGGTCATGACCAGTTTGGTGAGATAATTGGTTTTGAATATAATAATCACTTCTGCAAATGAATCATGCTTTGAAGTCTATGCTGCTTCTTCCTGCAAAACATGTTAGACTTTACGTCCAACTACAGATAGTTTAAAAGAATAAATCTTAAAATATGGATATTACAATCGAACCATTTCAAAAGAAATGCAGTAGAAAACAATCCAAATAAAGCTGTAACAAATCTGGTGTCCTCTCCATAGAGAGCACCCTCTCCATACGAGCAACACGAACAGTCAATCAATTCCAAAATCCATCAGAAACATAATAATTTACATTTTCTTTCTGAAAATTGCAAAGTAGGCACAGTTGAATTCAACAGCTGTGGATAGGGATAAAAAAACTAAGATCTTCTTTTGGATTCACACCTGATACATTTCCCACAGAGGGAAACATGAGACAGTCCTTCTAGGTTAAACAACAGAAGGATAATTTAATTTAATTTAACTCAATTTACTTTCTCAATTTAGGCGCTGTCCAAATCTCAACTGTCTCTGGATGGATACAATAAAAAAACCAAGCAGAACAGCAAATACAATACGATGATTGTTGACCTATGTGTGAGTTGGGAGGCTATGTGAAATTGTTTAATAATTATATAAAAAAAAAAAGAATGAAGAAGAAAAACGGATGGCCCCTGACTAATTAGTGTACACACACACCCTCAAACAATTTGACAGGAGCCACAACTACCGTACTCCAAAGCCTGAGAGAACAACCAAGACTTTAAGACTTTCTGGGATGCCACTGGGGCCAAAGAGTAAGGAATCACAATGGATATTAGAGGGAATCTCATTTTAGAAGGCAGTCGTCACAAAGTAGAAAGTAGGCTTCTTGAGTCTGGAAAGACAACATTGTATAATTGAAGATACCCAGAGGGTGCCAATCCTGTCATTTTGTACCAGACATCACGAGATATAGGCACTCCCTCAGATAACCAACCCCTCCACAATGGAGGGTTTTATCTTAGAGAGCAAGGAAAAATAACCTTGATGAAAATATGCAGGAACCATTACCTAGGCAAAAGTAGATGAAGCATATCTTAAGCAGCAAATATTCATAAGACGCTCAGACAGACACCTCCCTAATTCACAACAGCATAAGGAGAAGGAAGAGGTACAGCACAATCAGATGTGCAAGATTCTGTTATCATAGCCCCATGATGGTGAATCTATGGAACGCGTGTCACAGGTGGCACATAGAGCCTTCTCTGCAGGCACGCCAGCCGTAGCTCCAGCCCTACCACCCATGCGTGCATGCCTCCCGCTGACCAGCTGTTCTTCAGGTCAATGTCATGCATGTGCGTAGAATGGGGCATATGCGGGGGATGTGTGCATGCATGCGCAGGGGGCTGAGTGTACACACATGAACCCCCAAAATGCAATGTGAGCACCCCTGCACATGCACCCTGCACCCCCGCAGCCCATTTTGGGCCTGGAAGACCTCCTGCACCAACCTGGAAGCTAAAAATGGGTGGGTGGGGGCGGGGCACATGAGCAGGGGACATGCGCGCATGCATGGGGCACATGTGTGGGGGGGGGCAAGGTGCTTTGGGGGGTGCTCACATTGCATTTTTTGGGGGGGGCGCATGTGCTTTGGGCACTTGGCACCAAAAAGCCATCACTGTCATAGCCAATCTCAATAAATAGCAATAGCACTTAAACTTATATACTGTGATGGCGCAGTGATTAGCACTTAAACTTATAGAGATGCGGTGGCGCAGTGGTTAGAATGCAGTACTGCAGGCTATTTCTGCTGACTGCCTGCAATTTGGTAAATCAAATCTCACCAGGCTCAAGGTTGACTCAGCCTTCCATCCTTCCAAGGTGGGTAAAATGAGGACTCAAATTGTTGGGGGAAATATGCCGACTCTCTAAACCACTTAGAGAGGGCTGTAAAAGCACTGTGAAGCGGTATATAAGTCTAAGTGCTATTGCTATGGCTATACTGCTTCACAGTGTTTTACAGTCCTCTAAGTGGTTTAAACAGTGGTGGGATTCAAGTAATTTAACAACCGGTTCTCTGCCCTAATGATTTCCTCCAACAACTAGTTTGCCAAACTGCTCAGAAAGTTAACAACTGGTTCTCCCAAAGTGGTGCGAACTGGCTGAATCCCATCACTGGGTTTAGCGTGTCAGCATATTGCCCCCAACAATCTGGGTCCTCGTTTTACCGACCTCAAGAGGCTGAATCAACCTTGAACTGGTGGGACTCGAACTGCCAAACTGCTAGCAGCTAGCAGTCAGCAGAAGTAGCCTACAGTACTGCATTCTAACCATTGCGCCACAACGGCTGTTAAATAGCTTAGTCTCTTTTATAAATGGATTTCCTGCTTTGTTCTCCCTAGTGGGGCTGACAGCTATATAGGTCATAACCAGCACCTTGAATTACACTCAAAAGCATTCTGGTAAGCAGTGAAGCTCATGAAGCTAAGATATCATGAGGGCATGCCGTCTATGTCATTGAATTCTGGGTCAACTGAAGCTTCTGAGTGGTTTTCAAGGACAGCCTGGTTAAAGTACATCATAGTAGTTATGTTCTGAGTTGAACTATGGCATGTCACTGTCTGAAGGATCTCTCCTTCCCTCCCTCCCTCTCTCCCCTCTCCCTCTCTCCTTCTCTCTCTACCTGGAAGCCAAACCACTGGTCAACAGCTTCTTTAATTTTCTTCCTACTTTAGCAAATATTGCTGCCAGTGGCACTGATACAACCTAGTCTATTTTTTGTGTTACAGAAAAACTTTCTTTGAAAGTATTAAGTTTTAATAGTTGATAACAATATGATGACCTCACAATACCTTTATTTTCCTCTCTGAAAGGCGTTGCTTAAAATAAAAAAAAGGATAAAATGTTGTGTGTGTGTGTCTTTGTTTATATGTGTGTATGCAATTAATCAATACGAGCTACCAGTCTAAGCAGACACACTGGGCTTTATAGATGCTATTTTCACATAATCTTTGTGCCAGCAACAGTCTTTACATAATTTCTGGTTGTACATGTCCCTCACATCTTGCTTAACATTGGAAAATACCCATGAGGAGGAAGACCCTGGCTAGACAGTTTGTTAAGTAAAGGTTCAGGAAAAATGCAAGCTCCAGATGACAAACACTGAAATGCAAAATTTAGCACTGTTGTCATGCATGCCACAGCCTGTCAGATTCTAAGACATTGTATTGGTTTGAATGCTTCCCTTCTGGTATTTCCTTGGAGGAGAAGACCTAGATAAAAATAGGACGTGGCTAAATGTTTGTCTGTCTTGTGCAGTAAGCTGATATGTTCCCAGTCAATACTGTCACTACAAACAGTAAGGCTAGGGATCAGCTCTTCATTTTGGGTAAGAACATCATTCTGAAGATAATCATGGATATTTTACACATTTTCTGACAGCAGTGCACACTGGGACAAATCCTTTGAGAGGCATCACAGTTCTCACCCAGAGGTACAATCCTCCATCTCTTAATAAGAAGACAGAAATGTCACATTTTTACTCAGTGTGTTGGTAACATGGGTAACATCTGCAATCTGTCAAGAGCTTGAGCAATAGCAAGCAAATATTTAGATAATGATTGATTGAAAAATCAGCAATATAAATATGGTCTCCAATTACTGTCCCCCACTGGAGAGGACCCATCAAATGTTAATCATATACTAAAAACCAAGTAAACAAGCTCCCCAACTTGTAACAGATATTATTTTAGCAGCGACACCCCCATTTTCAGAATTAGAGGGACATACTGATTTAAGACCAGGGGTGAAGATTTTATTCCCCTTCAGGTATTTATGCAGCTTCCCAGGCACATGAAAAGAAATAATCCACAATTCCAAGGGCTGAATAGATTCAGGTTTCACCCTTCCTGCTTTTGAGCTCCAGCCTGCATTTTCAAAAGCAAATTTTAAGGGGTTTTTTTTGCCTAATAAGGAGATAGATCTAATTGTGCAAGCAGAACAAGCAGCCTTGTTGAAAACTCAGATTCTATCTATAGCATTTCAGGCAGTGTGATTAGGAAGGGGAAAAAGACAAAAAAATGAGGTGTCTGCATGATCTGAAGTTTTCAAATGAAAAGAGCAGCAGTCTCCTATCGCAATGGATCTGCATGCAATGTCGTCATCTTCTTTTAACGACTCCATAATCCCTTGCGGGGTGAAGTCTGGGCAACTGAATGGAGCTGAGAGTTTACTGGCCAGATGCCCTTCCTGTCACCAATGTGGAGTTATATTCAGCAGATATATCAATGTGCCCAGAGAGAGAAATAACTGACTCTACCTAGGATCAAACTCATAGCCTCCTGATTGTGAGGTGAGAACTCCACCTCTAGGCCACCGCACCACTCATCTGCATGTGATGTCATGACCTGCATGTAAGAAGGCAAAGCTTGGGTTGCAGTGTAGCAACACTGCTTTTGCCATTTGCTTTGTCTACAGGGAAAATCCCTCTTTCTACTTGACATCTGGCTGTTGGAGTAAACATCTCCCTTGATGTCTAGCAGGCTATCAGTCCCACCTGGCTTTTCTCTCTGTCTCTCTCTAAAATAGAAGCAAACATGTTTCAAAGCAAAACGCCAGCCCCGAGCATGATTTTTATTTCCAAGAATGCTCTCTTCCACTGGGCCCTTCAGAGAATAAAAACCATTCTTTGAAAATAATATTGAAGACTGGTTACTTAATTATATATTTCAAAAGATAATGTTGTGTTGAGAGGTGATAGATTGCATCTTTGGAAGGCTTGATTCTCTACACTCCAAATATGCTCAACCTCCTTAAAAGCTTGTCAGTCCATGCATTAAAAAAAAAAAATCTGTACTAATGGATGGAAACAATATAATTATGAGATGATTAATGTGTCATTAAGTAATTGTGAGTTCCTAGTAACCCCATAGATTGACTTGGTCAATCTTGC